GCGTCTTTTTTAGAAAAAAAACTAAGAAATAAAATAATAAAAGTAAAAACTTTGTTACGCGACCGAGATTCGAACCTGGACACTTGTGAATTGTGAGTGTTGATCTTGCACCTTGGCCGCTTGACCACGATGCTTACAGCCGAGTGTGCAAATTACCGACTATATTTTGCGTGGCATAATGCAAAAGACAGACATAAAACTAATCTAGATCGTTTGACAGCCCCCGAAACCCCCCGTGTGCAGAATTTCATGAAAATCATTGGAGCTGTTTCCGAGATTCAGGTTATATATATATACAAGAATTGCTCGTTTAAATATATTAAGATTTACATGTAAAAAACTAGTCCTTATATTTTTTTTTTATATTTTAATTTTTCATCTTTTATGTTATTTTTTATATGTATTTATTCAGTAAAATCAGTCAATGCCACAAAAAGTTTAGCTATAATTTCGAGTAATTTTAGAAATAAATTTGAAATTCAACTATTTTCCTTATGTAACATTTTAACGTAACATACCTAATCATGGATATATTTTTGTTATATAATTATCTTGTATCAATAATTGAAGCGGATGACTAGAAAGTTTACTTAAACATATAAAATCGATAAAACATCAATTACAAGAGTGATAAAGATATCGGAGAGTCCAAGAATAATTATTTTAAGATATTAATTTACATAATATTAAAAAGTGTCAAATGAACCTAGAAATTAGCAGAAAAGATATTGCTGTTTAAAATGAAGTAGGTCACAACAGTTTTAAAACGGAGTACAATTTAATTCAACAAATCTTTTCCAGGCGTCAGTGTTGTCAATCATAGCAGAAATAATAGACGTGGCACTTTAGATAAGCTAAAAAGGAAGAGACGAAGCTCCGATCTAGATAGGTATAGGTCATAGGCCAAACACTAAAAGCTATTTCAATCACTTAGTTACAATTAATGAGGCGTTGTTGATTAGATGTTAATAGCTGAACAAAACAATGCCGATAATTGGCCTTGTCGCGTTCTAGATTGTAACATCAATCCAATGACAATTTTGGATCCAATTCTGTAAATAGAGTCGGCGCTGCCCTAATTTGTATCAGAAATGGGGCAAAGCTTTAAACAACTTCAAGCATTTTCTTATCGCTTTAAAGGTGCATGCAGGTCATCACTGTCAATCATTATTATGATCATCTCATGACTAAGCTCGTTACTAATCTATCTTTCTGTCCACTTGATGTAGGTACCTATAAGCTTAAATATTTCATAATAAAAAAATTAGATACAAATGAAAACAAAGCGTTTATTCATGGTTTAGAAATACTAGAACTTTCATTTTGCTATTTAAGCTGTTAGCTTTATTAGGCTCTATTATTTTGAGTTATCATTATAAGCGGCAAAAAAAACTGTTTATATGATCTGATCTTTGAAACGAACACATTTTTCAGATTTGTGCCAACAAAGTATTGCGCTGTAGATAATAGGTGGTTTAGGTAGGTAAGGTAGTAAAGTAGGTTTTTTTTTATGGTATTCAGTGACAAACGAGCAGACAGCCCACCTGATGGAAAGCGGTACCTGTCGCCCATAACACCTACGGTTCATGCACTTAGATTTTATGTTACAAAAATTCAGAACCGCCGCAGGTGTCACTGTGAGGACTAAGATGATATGCCTCTTGCCTGTTATTGCGCTGGCTACATTAAATTTTATTACCTTAAATTTTATATGAAATAAATGAAATAATTATTTATTATTTAACTAAAAATCACTTCAAATGTATGTTGTAGTGTATTCCATTCCATATTTTTTTGCAAATATTCAATCAAAATATATGATCGAGATCATCCTGGAGGTATAATCCTTCAAAATTAAAAAAAAAACATATTGATGAAACACAAGGATGTACTTATAAAAGCAACAACAACAAATCATACATCCAAATTGAGTAACTTCTCTTTTTTAAAATCAGTCAAGAATTCGCATAATAAATAGGTACGTAAAAGTTCATCGTGTAATTTTATTAAAGCAAAGCAGTGTTCAATGATTAGTAATTTTCCCCGAGATCCCCGAAAACGTCTGGCGGCGCCGACTGCAGCCGTCATCTGTTATCTATGCTAATTAAGTTGAGGAACAGGCTGATAAGTTATAATAACAAATCTATTAATGCTAATATTAATTTTGCAAGATCACAATATTGTTATTACTTCTAAGGTACTAAGGAATACCTAATATAAAAACAAAGCAGAATTATCTTAATAATTATTTTACATTAGTTCAAATATTTTGGTACTAATAATATGTATAGTATATCTAATGTTAAGCCAATTACCATTTTTGATAATTTTTACTAGTAGGTTTAGTAGTAGTTGAAAATACCTAGATTGGTCTGTTTATCCAGACTAATTGCAAATTCCGGAGAGCCACTGTTAAGAAACTTTTAAAAATTCGTAGGTAATGTGTTCGGCATAGAGCATAAGGTATTACTTTTCATGCTGAGAAAAAAGATTGCTGGGAAAATGTTGCTATTTTGCAGAATGAAAGATACATTATATAGGGCAATTGAAACGACTTATATGTATTTGTGTAATGCTTAAGTAAATATTTTTGATATTTTATATCAAGGCTGAAATCTGAGCACTGGTATTATTAAATAAGTAGCATTACGTTTAAAAAAAATTAAATTTCAAAATAAAATTGATATTCCTGATCCCTGGCCGATGGGATCTGACGAATGACCGACGACTTTACATCTTCTCGGAGGCTACTTTAACAGAAAGACTGAATAACTTGGCACGACCCGACACTCGAACCCAGGACCTTGGGATGTGCAACCGTACATTCTAACCACTACACCACCGAGGCAGTTGATAAAATGTCGGTGTTAACAAACTAAATAAATAAGTTTTAAATAAAATTATGTTTACAAATTTCTATTTAAAAATATTTACTATCCTAAACCCTACGTTTGCGATGAGTCACTAATGGACATGTTAGATGTATCTACTATCGTATAGGTAAATATAATTCTTACACTCATATTGTTTACAATAAAATACTATATTGATATCTATGTTAATTGTAAGGGTTCACATAATACTTTCTTATTTAAAATGTAAGAGTTTATTTTAAAATTTGGCTAGTAACTATGTTATAATATTTAATTTACATTTAGAACTCTGAGTAACGTGGATGTAAGTTCTTAGAAGTTGATAAAGGAACTACCTGCATGCAAATATAACATGTCTTCATCCTTCATAAAAAGCAGACATTCGCCATTACTAAAAAATAAACAAATAAAAATTACACGGCAGACCTTAACAGAAAATGACCTCTAAAATCTCTATAAAAAATTGATATTAGTATAACTGAACATGAAAACGAGTAAGTTATATTTTTATGTGCTTTTTATTATATAGGTACTAACTAGTACTTTAATACATAATAATAAAAAATTACTTCATTTCCGTCAAAAATGAAAAAATGAACGTGGAATTTTGAAATGAATCCCTAATAGGCATAATAAAACTGTAACACAAATTGCCCCAGAGATTCTCTTATAGTAGCTATGCTTAAGATAACTGTTTACAACACATACCTCTCATAAGTGACACAACAGGCGACACAGTTGTACAAAGATTAATTATCATTAACAAGCAAAGGGCTACATCTATCAATACGATGTCACTTGTAAATAGTATTGCTATATTAAGCCCTACAAGTTATTGCAAAGAAATAGCTATAAATAACCAATGTCAGTGACTCGCCGTAGCCGTCTGGTAGACGGTGCTGTCACTGAACCTCAGCCTCACCGCGGGATATTCCATCCCTCATTGTTTACATCTTGCAATCGTATTATATAAAAAAAACCACCTCTTTTACCCTCAATCATTCCTTTTTTATTAGGTTTTTATTAGGTTTATATGAAACTCCGCGTATTTCATATTAAGATACATTGTATCTAAAACATCATAAAGTTGAAATTTTATTGAGGTATAACATCTAAACATCGAGTTTAAGTATTATTAGGCTGCTTGTACTAAAAGATAATCGCAACAACAAAGTTAGACTTGAGAAAGCGTAAGTATATTTTTATTACACTATCGGTTTTTTTAAAGTAAAACAACCAGTGACATTTATATAAGTTTCTTATGGTATATCTAATGTATGTGTATGTATGTATTCAGCCCTTTTTAACGTCCCATTGCTGTACGAGGCCTCCCTTCAATACAAGGGGGATCAGGCCATAGTCCACCACGCTGGCTAAGTGCGGGTTGGCGGACTTCACGTCTTTTGAAAATTTGCTAGATTCTCTCTGACATGCAGGTTTCTTTACGATGTGTTCCTTTACCGTTAAGACAAGTGGTAATCATGTTGGAAATGAGTCGCACATGATAATATCAGAGGTGCGAGACCAAGGATTTGAACCCGCTTCACTCGGTTTCCCAAGCGAACACGTTAACACTGGGCTACCACTGCCTTAACTTCTATTACATAGATTTAAATATTATTAAGAAACCATAACACAGTATTGTTCTGTTCTTCCGTTTATTAATAGAAAGCCTACAAGACAGACTCACAGAGTGGATACAGTACTGAAGGGGTCCAACAAGCTATTAAAACATGCCATGTAAAAAAAAACTTTTTAAATGATTTTCGTCAAAGTTTTTTTAAGCGCTCTATAAAAAAAAATTAAACTTTTACTGTTAACGATAAAAATAAATAGTAATAAGTAAATCCCAAATTTAGGCATGTATTCAAGAAAACTCAGTGTAAACTTATATTTAAAATGAAGTAAGGCAAACTAAGTGAGCTCTATTTTGTTTTAAGTATATAATTTACTAAAAAATGATAAGTGTCCAATAATTGGATTACACCAATAAACGTCCTATATAGATAGAGCTGAACGTTTAATGTAAATATTTTCGCGTTGGTTGAAAAAAGGACCGTTCAACTTGAACATGACTTACTCACAACTTAGTATGTTATCTGCTTCTGTCTCTGTCAATATTCGACAATGCTGTCTAGATCTCTAGAATCCGTTTCCAAGATCACAATTCAATTACGTAAGTATTTTGAGACAGACATGAAATTTTCGCGATCGGTAATCGAATCTGTGGTCAGATCACCAGGCTGTCAAATAAGCATAATATAGATATATTATGTAAATTAAATAAACAAATAAGATAGATATTTAATTAAAAAGGTAAGCGTTCGATATTTAAACTATGTACCTATGTACGTATGTGTATGTATGTACATATATATACTTATACCTATTTATAATGCATGGAGAAGTTAATTTAGATACTTTCGTTTAAATCTCTTAAAAAGTCTCGTGTATAATTAGATAGCTTAAAATATTTTATCACTCATATTTCTTTATTTATGTTTTTATCAGAAAACTTCATATCTAAAAATAACAAAGACTTTTTACTATTTTTATATGACAATTAGTTCGTTGACTTCGTACATAGAATGTGACGTTTAAATTTTGTTTTGACTAACAACTTCTTATACGAAGTAACAAATTTTAATGACAATCATTATATAATAAGGAACCCGAAAAGGTCACCGACAGATAAAATACGAAATATTATATAAACGCCTGAACATAACTGAAAGGATTGCTTTTGAAAATTGTATATCTTTGTAAACAATTGCCTAGATTTTCACGTGGTTTCGGGCGGGGCGGTTGCGGGGGGCGGGGTCTCTGCGCGCACGCCGCCCATCTGTTATAAGCGCGCGCGCAGTTCGCGCTGGTGACAGCGTGAGCAGCGCAACCGAACGACGTTCTAGCGTGCGTGCCACGACTGCGACCCGGTCGAATCGCGCGCCGATCAGCGCTAGTGCCCGATAGTCTATCGCCAAATCAATTGTTCAAAGGTAAGTTGTGTTCAATATTCGTTTATTTACGGGAGTTTAATATGTTTGTGAATACCACTATATCTGATATATAAACTTAAAAGAAACCAGTTTCGTATTTTTATTTGTTTTTTATTTTCCAAGTAATAGCTATCTTACTTTTCAAGTAGTAGTTTTATTCGTTTAATATTAGTATACTTTTATTTTTCCTAGATTAAACCCTTTTTTTTGTACTTTATAAAATAAATGATATTCTAATATTATAATATTTATAATATTTTCTTCTGAGCAAACACATAATAACACACAAACACATATTTTATTAACACATAAACACATATTTTTTCGATTTCATTTATTCCTACAGAGCAACTCAAAACTTAGACTTTGTATTATGCATAACATTCTTATAAATAATAAGGTTATATTATTTACTATCATTAACGGTGGCCTTTATATATATGATCATAATAAAGTCAGATAGAGCTCATTTGTAGCGCTAAGTAAGATACCTATAAACAAGTTCACTGTTCAAAATACTTAAGATTAAATTGTAAAGCAAACGGAACCACAAATGTGTATTTAATTTTTATAGCTTTTACAAAGTTAAACGTAAAATTGAGGTATATATATATATATATATATTTTTAACTTTCCCTTATTTATCTTTTTAACTTGAAAATCTGAAGAGTGACGTAGACTACTTTTTACTGCGGGAGACTATCTCATTTCCCCCAAAAAACACGCTATAATACAACCCACAATAACTCATTATACCTATGAAAATATATAATAGGTATATATACGAGTGTAGTCTATCTGTTCCATACTCGTTAAAACGTACCTACCTAGGGACAAACCCGAGCAAAGCAAGGGTGAGCCACTAGTATATAACACTGTCTACTTTATTACATATGAAAATACATAAACTTCTGATCATTACCCTGTATGCAAGTTAAAATATTTAAATACATACAAATGCAGAAATGATTACATACGTCTGTACAGTGCTTATTTAGGAAACTGCCATAGGCTAAATGGACACTACGATCTTTTTTTAATATGTAACTAGGTACTATTTTGGTAGGCACACAACAGAACATTCAAGAAATATTACAAATGAAAAATTAATAATAACTTCGTAATTATTAAGGATAATTTGCAATATTACATTAATAAAGAAAGTTTCTTATTTTCCATTTGCTAAGTTAAACAATGTATGTTTGTTGTTTGATGGTACTTAACACTGCTCTTCTGCCAAACGTGAAATAACAGACAGCATATAAGAATGATAAACACAATAGATCTATACATATAATAAAATATTTTTTGGAAAATTTTATTTAAATAAACATTATTATCGATACAGAAGCCGAATCTATAGTTTTTAGAATTTTTGTCTGTCTGTCTATCTGTCTGTTACCGCATCACAGAAAAACCACTGGAGGGATTTTGATGAAATTTGGTATGGTGATAGCTGGTTATCCGGGTTAACATATAGGATACTTTTTACTGCGGGAAAATGTCTCATTTCTAAGAAAAAATACAAAAACTGGAATGTAATGTAATATTAATATGTAAAACCTAAGAATTTGGTTTTCGGTCATTTGTACACGGGCGGAGCCGCGGCCAATGCTAGCATACTATATAATAATACAGAATAACAGATTGGACATATAAAAACAAAGTAATCAAGTAGGCACAACCAAACACTATATCTATATATTTTACAATTTTCAAATTTATTTTCTCACTCATTAGTTTCCGACCTCATTCATCCATATTGTAAATATATAAAAAATGAACTTACTCGTCCTAGATTAGAAGAAAATAAGCTGTAACAGACCGACAAACAGTCACGTGATTTAATAGGGATCCGATTTATCCTTGGATATACGGAACATTAAAGATTATATCTAAGTAGGTATCTATTAAGTATTAACAAAATCTAAAAACAAAATTTTAGGCTGTATAAACAAACATAATATGTACGTTCACATGTTTATACAATCTGTAATACAGATTTGGCTATTATCAAATATGATAAACTTAAACTTACTAACTTGTTTAATAAATAAAAATGGCTACTATTCCGCATCAAACTAAAGAAAAATCACGTAAATCGGATCATAAGTCTCAGCGTAATCGGTGTACATACATTAAAAAAATACCAATCGAATTGAAAACCTCCTCCTTTTTGAAGTCGGTAAAAAATTAAATCTCCTAAGGTTGCCCGTGCATCATCTATTGTTGATATCTTCTTTTTGTATATTTCTTTTTGGTGTACAATAAAGTATCTATCTATCTATCCATCTATCTAACTCCATAAAAAATATATATAATATACTTTGCACTATTCGTCTGTTTGTGCGTTTTAACTCGGGCACCACTGACGGTTGTCTATGGTGGTATCAATTTTTTTTATCGCACCATATATTTATATAAATTTGGCTACAATAGGTTACTCAATGTATCCAAATTTATAAAATTAGGAGTATCGAGTTTTTGTCTGAAGAACAACAGCTTTCCAAAGATGCGCGGGGTGTTAGGACTAAAAAGATTTTTATATCATTATTTTTAACTGTAATAAGAGTTAATCAGTACTAAAGGCAGCTGTGAGAAGTCTAATTATTTAATAAGCGTAACATTAAGAACGCTGCCGATCTTTTACAGGGGCGAGGGATAAGTAATAAGTGACACAAACAAGTGTTGTTGTCATTCGGATTCACTATCGAAGTAGTAAACGTTATGCTTGAACTTTATGAGGTCAAATTATAAATTGGGGTCGCGTTCATCGAACGGGCATTCGGCTACCTGCGACCTTGTCTCCCAAACAAATGCTAGTATTGACGAGACATGCCATTAAATAATCACATTCGACTGACTCGGCGATCAAGATTGCATTCAAAACAACAACAAGTCAAGCACGAGTCAGCTTATCACCAAACAATAAATAATTGTATTAAAACGAATATTAATATCAATACGTGAATGCCTCCAGAAACTCGATTCAATTTTATTTTAATATTTCGTTTTACGATTGTGTTATCCCTCAAACGTGAGCAGTAATTTAGTGATATATCCGATAGATGTATCAAGACAGCTCTATTTGGTGTTAGCGTATAAGCATGCGATATGAACCGAAGGCACTGACCGCCTGCGATCGTCAATTGGGAGAGCCGACGATACACTTGACCCCGCAACTCTTGAATTACCTATCGTCTGCTGATTCGTACTACCGTGTCTCGTTACTAAGGAGCTTTATAGAACAGGTACCTACACAACACATTTGTGTAATATAAGTACATAATTGATTTGATTCCGGATGCTGTTATTTTTTAAATTTCTTAACTCGGTATTTGAAGCTGATTACATCCTACATGCACCTCGCCTAATGCCACGGAATGAGCATAAATATAGCTAGTTACCTTCAGGTTTCAAAATATGTAGCAACTTGCAACGATGTGAAATAGTCGGTCGGTAGTTAAAATTACACATTTAATTGAGTATTAATTTATTACTACTATTAGTAGGTCTCTAAACGTACTAAGATGCATTTCTAGAAGATCATTTATATTAAAAACTAGCGACTAACTGATTAAACAATCACTTTTATATATCACTACAAATTAACGTAACTTTTTTAATTATGAACTAATTGAAATAAAACAAATACTAAATGTTAAGTGAAACTTACTGCTATACATAAGTGAAAACCCCACCCAAATCGGTTAAGTGCTTCTGAGATTAACGCGCACAAACGCACAGACAAACGGACAAAAATTCTAAAAAATCATTCTATTGCGTTAATAAAGATAATAGTTATATAATTTAATATAATGTAGTTTATTTACTATAATAGTTTTTACCGATTATAGTTTTTCTCAAATATCTTTCATGTATAGGCGATCAGTTACAATTTTATTATATGTATAGCTTTAGGTACCTACCCGTTTTCTCTAATTTCCAACAAATAAAGCATGAATAATTTTTTTCTTTTTCTTTATACTGCTTACTTACTACTTATGAGTATAAATAACACTTACTAGCGAATTTTATTAAAGCAGTAGCTGGCAAGGCTGCAGACCAAGATGTAATTATTCAATCGAGTGCACGAGCACCGGAGCGAGCGTTGGTCTGACAGTTCGATCTCCAGGGTTACCAATTACACTCGTATAATACTTCATTTAAACATTTTACTTTGACAAGAAATATATAAAATAAAAAATATTCAATATCAACTTCGAATAGAAACATCATCTTCATCATATAATTACACATTACACGTTATTACTTTAAACAAATTTGTATGAGACGACGCGAAATGGCGACTAGAGAAGGCGAGTGCACGCATCATGCAAGTGACCAATTGAAAGTGACACACTAGCACTCAGTACTTAGTACTTACTACATGTAACAACAAAACTACAATGAACCGTTGATGGTAGAAACACGTGAGACGTGCAATAAACAGCTTACTAAATTACCAATGTTTATGAAACAAAAACTTTAAACAAATATTAAATTGCCTCCTAGACAACAAGGTCATAGATATGAACGTTGTTATATTATTAAACATTATTTAATATGTTATAAATAATAATTTAGCCGACTTGTAATGATTATTATCAGATTCTAATAAAAATCTAACTTATAGAAATCTAACTTATTGTGTAATAGCCCAGTCAAGTTAGGATTTAATATTGCAAAAATTTTTTGTGGTAATTTTCCTTCGGAATTCTTTGGGTCACTGGCAGTCTAAATTTTAGGTTCCCGGGGTACCAGACCCGTTGCGTCATCCGCCATCTTGAATTTAAGAGTTGATTTTTGTTTATTGAATACCTCGTTTATTTTCAATTTTACACGAAAAATAGTTATTACAAAAGTTGTTTAAAATTAAATTTCCTACAATTTTGGTCCTCATTAATTTTTTCGTAGGATCGATGTTTTTCGATTTATACCTAAGTGAGAAAAGGAGGGGGCAGTGACACCCTCCCCTTTCCCCCTCCCCAAAGAATTCCAAAGGAAAATTGCCACTAAATTTTTTTGCATTGTTGACCCCTTTCTGAGCTAATTCGACTGGGCTATAATTTACACATAGTTTTTACTAATATCTATTTATTATTTATTCAATTAATATAATTATATTATATTGTTTTTAATGATACATTACTAATGTAAAATATCTTATAATACTGACCTACTTTGAATTTATGTCATTGAAGTTATTTTTAACCTGGGCCGAGTGATTGGCTTAATGCATCAAGTATACTTGGGGGAGTTAAATTGATTAGAACTAATAATACCATCTTGAATGTAGTTAGTCTTCCTATACTAAGTGTTCTCTTCTAGGAACTACTCGCATACACTAACGGAAGAGGTATTTATATGTACGGTTGCAAGTAGCAACACACAAATCTACCAACACCGGTTTTTGCCATAAACTGGAAACGACGCCTGTAACTTAAGTGATTAGTGATTACGTAAAGTGATAAATAAAAATAGCAATGCACGATGATGACAATACGGTTTAATACTGCACCCACCCTACACTATTCTTAGAATGGCACTTAAGGAAAGGAAGGAGCTGATTTGCATTTTTATGAATGATGAAGGTTAATTCATTCATTTATCTTGGTTTCTCGCTAACCATTTAGCTGTTATTAATATATTATTTTATTTAAAAAAAAAAAGAAAGTAAAAGAACAAATCTCGAGTCTTAATTCATACCAGTAAGCATTTTGTAAAAGCTTTTAGCTAATAAGTACTCTGAACTTACATTATACATACGAGTACATAATGGTATGCATTTACTACCATTTGAGTAGTAAATTGTACAATTGAAACAATTAAGAGCTTGTAACTCTTGTTACAAGTATATTTTGCGTTATTTTTAAGTTTGTTTACGTCTATATAGCTACTGCTTAGTTTGTATTGTACACGCAATGAAATAAAAATTAACGATCCATTCTTTAAGAAAGAAATAACCCAAACTAAGTTTAAAATGTAAAAATATGTGAGCATACTTTTTAAAACTTCCGTCACTTTTCAGCTCTCCAACTATTTTCACACAAAAAATCACGCCAATCCATCACTCTGTTTCGACATCCAAGAACGACAAACAAACACACACATTTTCATATTTCTAATATTAAGTATGGATAGTATCAAATATTTATTTATTTTGTTGGTACGTATTAAATAAAATAAAACTATATATAAAAGTATATAGTTTTTTTTTTTTTTTATAAAAAGTAAATACTAATATAGAAATAAACTAAGGCCATTATTTTTAATTTGTAGTCTATAAATGAATGTGAACATTTTTAATTCACATTTAATTCACGGGAACTTTTTAATTTTCCGGGACGAAAAGTATCTAAAATGTTGACCGGGGATATAAGGTACCACCATGCAAAATTTCATTTAAATCGGTGCAACAGTTTCGGAGATTACAAACAACGTACGTACAAACAGGCCCGTACAAATCTGGATTTGTTCTATTTCTCTTCTTACATCCCCCTGACTCAGTTTTTAGCAATTTTTTTAGGTACGTACATTCGACCTCTACAGTGTTATTATATTACTATGTTATTTAAAAATATTTAAAAATCATATAAGTAAATATCTTAATCTTAATATAGTTAAACTAATGTGTTATAGAAATATCATTTTAATTATCATAATAATTAAAATTTCTATTTAGTATGCATTACAAATTAATTAAAATGAAATTGCTATAATTATATTATTATATTTACAGTATTTTTTTTTTTAAATAATCATGTAACTTGTATTAAGTATATTATATAGGTAGTATAATTTTTATTTTATTTTACATAAGTATATAATACATTAAGTTATGTATTTTTTTCTATATTATTTTACTTAAAATGGTTTTATTTCATTTGAATAGTATTCGGTCCCAAAGTCATCGCATTTAATAGAAAAAATCCTTAATGCAGTAGATATTTCATATGAAAGGAGCATTTTAATACCAAAACTTTAGTTCCACTTAGGAAATGAAACGATATAATATGTATATTGGATTCGTTATTATCAGCAAAGTAACAGGGCGGAGCCCGTATCATATTACACTTACCCTTTGGTATAAAAGCGTTAAAACTTCTCGAGTTACGCACATTCACGTCTCGGGTTACAGATACAAACATTTTAAGAAGATACCGAGCGCACTAGACAGAGTTTCTCATAATTTTTATGCACCACATTTGAGGTATATTTTAACATTTGTTGAATCATAAAATTATAGACTCCACTAGCAAATGTATAACGTATATTACGTTATATAAATATAGCCAAAATATATATATTAATTGCCTGACGCGACAACTCAGAACCGTTTCTCTTGGCACAGAAAAGTGAGGAGACCCGACCCCAAATAACGGGATCAGGGACGGAAGAAGAAGAGTCAAAATTTGTCATAGTACTTACATTTTATGCATTTCCGGCAGATATTGAAATGTTGGTGTCGAAGGTACTGCAGCTAGCAATTGTCGGCCTGGCGATGCTCTGGGAGTGGAGGAGCGACGCCGCGCGTGCCGCCGTCAAGCTATGCGGCCGGGATCTCGGGGACATCATGAGCAGAGTCTGCCACGAGTACAATAGCCCATCTTGGGACGTGCCTACAGGTAAGTTACACGCATCGTCTCCACTCTAAATTAGCTTCAAACTGAACATTTTCATCACTATAAGATACCGAATTTAAGTACCCTCTTAATGAAGAGTCGCAGCATACTATCAAATATAACTTGATATTAACAACACCAGCTTGACGTTATTTTTGCGGGCATTTTTATCTCTATATAAATTATAATTGAAACTATATAAATAGTGCAAACAAGTACCTATGTATATAAATAAATAGTACAAAAATTTGTACTGTTTAATCTATACTAATATTATAAAGAGGTAAACTTTATGTGTGTATGTGAGTTTGTGAATTGTGAGTTTGTGACGTCGTAGGGGGTAATCTCTGGATCTACAGAACTGATTCAGATGAAATTTGGTAAGAAGATAGTTTGAGACCCTGGAAAGGACATAGGATACTTTTTATCCCGGAAATCAGGCCTTAAGAAAGTTTGTATAGGGAATCAACCTAGGGACGGACCCGAGCGAAGCGAGGGTGAGTCGCTAGTTAATTATATTGTCGTTAACATTCACATATTAAGTAAATACTTATTAAGTAAATAATTAAGTAGTTTTAAAAAAAGTCATATCCATATATTATTTAAAAAAACAACAAGCACTTACACGTTCCAATATCATTTAGAGCATGTCAGCTTTTTTGCGCAGAAAACATGTGAACTATAGAGATAACTACGACAAATTAAGGCTATCAAAAATTACATTATCATCAATGTTATTTAAAAAAATATATTAATATATATTTTTTTACATTACGAAGTACATTTACTATATTGTGTACTAAAATTCTCAACAAATAGATTTAGCTTAGACGACCCATAACAGAAATATCCGCCTAACAACATAGTGTATCAACAACCGCCAACAAGGTCACCCGCGTATAATTAATTGTATAATTATAATTAGTATTGTCTAGCGCACTCTACGTACAGTATCCTAAGTTAAACAGTATGCATATTATATACTTCATAGTAACTATTACAAATATTTATTTTCAATAAACACCTGATAAATAGTAACTTAACACAAAGTATATTATCATTATGAATTTTACTATCGTATGTGATTTTCTTTAAATGAAACAAGCTCTTTAATAAAGTTTTATAAAAAATGTAAGTTTTTTTTTTGTTTTGGGGTGCTCACCTGTCAGTCTATAATATATTATTATATAATTCATAGCCTAGCCTTAAATCTTTACACACGTTTATAAGCAGAATAGATAGAGATCTGCTATTCGCATTTTATAAGCTAATTCGCGCGGTAGAGTCTGCCGAGTTATAAATTATTATATATACAGAAAAAGAACTTAAAAGGGACTTATTTTAAAGCTATTATAATATTATATAATTTTTATTATAAATAACATATTTTAATCAAATCTATATATTCTTAAAACGTGTAGATTGAAGATGTATATAAATGTATATATTTTTATCGTAAGATCGCGCGACCTCTTGAATGTTTACATCTAATACTTAATCACAGGAAAACTACCAATATATCCTCTTATTTAATAGTGACCCTTCATATACGTAATATCAGACACGAAACGATTTCGTGTTATATGTTCATTCACATATGACCCAAGGACACCAGTCATCGCAAGCACAGTGGAACTTTTCGCACTAAATATGGGCTTATAGCTAGGCGTCGTAACACACTTTGATAAAAAGAGATTTTAAGGTCTCGGTGACGGTATCGATAAGAAAATTGTGTTATCGACTCTATTAAAAAGTAGTAAGCAAATATCATTCAGATATTCAGTAATGTTACAGAAATGTAAAATGTTGCTACATATTACACATGTAATGAAATCCATTTCACAATTAAAATGGTACAAATCTTGAAATATTATCATTTAAGATCTTTTGCCAATTTTGCCTAGGTTCGGCTAAATATTTCAAAATAGCATTTAGTATTTATTTTTTATTTACTTTATTTTGTAGTGGTAGAACAACCCGCTGCAGTAGTAAGGCAAAAGAGAAGAACTGGGATTGCAGACGAATGTTGTATCTACGGCTGCACATGGGAACAACTCAGTGCATATTGTGCCATAAGTGCCAAGTAAGTCCATATATTAAAGTATCGATTAATGTGAGGGAATGTTAAAAACATGAAACTGAAATTATTTATAGTTGAATTGAATAGAGTTCAATATATTCTTATAAAAACAGTTTAAATTATTTATTAGTTACCAGATTGTTCTCCATCCACCTTTTGATCCACCTTTAATCATCTATAATAACAGTGAACACTACTAAGCCCCTATTTTAAAGTACCTAACTAGTATGATAAACCCAAGATAGACATGATATCCTTCCGACCGATTTCGGCCATGGCGGCCATAGGTTCTGATGGGGTGTTTATTCTAAACGATCAGTGTAAAAACAGGCACAGATCCGACGGTTTTACATGTTCTCTGTTGAGGAAAGGACAATGTTCCACTTCCAAATATTTAGTTTATACTCTTTTGAAATTAGAATGTTTTTTTTGTCTATGGCAACTTTAAAAACAAAAGGGAACAGACAGAGTTTTTTAAGATTGATGATAAAGGTATGTAAGGTTAAGAGAAATAAAAGAAAAATGAAGAAATGAAGAGTTTTATTATTCCTCGACACTGCCAAAATAACTAACAGTGGTAGCAAAGCGTAGTTCCATGCAGTTTCCGGCACAAAAAACTCCGGCAGTCTACGAAAGAAAAAACATCGTCGAACGCAACGTGTAACGACCAAAATGGCGTCAGGACAATACGAGTTAGGTAAAATGAAACAGTTTGAAGGAGAAAATTTCGATACTTGGAAATACAGATTGAAAACTATATTAAGGGAGCAGGAATGCTTAGATGCTATAGAAAGTGAGAATTTTGCGATCAAAACAGAAAACATAAAAAAGGAAACAAGAGCAGTAAGCATTTTAGTAAGCTCCATCGCAGACAGTCATATCGAATATATAAAAGACGAGAAAACGGCATATGGGATGCTTAAGAAATTAGAAGAAAACTTCATGAAGAAAAATACCAGAAGTAAAATTTTTATAAGAAGACAATTAATGGAAATTAAGTTTAATGAAAATGAAAAATTGCAATCACACTTTACACAAATGGAGGAATTGTTTACACAACTCAAAAACGGAGGATCCACCCTGTCAGAGGAAGAAAAGGTGAATTACATCTTACTCAGTATGCCGAAATCATATGAAGTGGTAATAACAACTTTGGAAACTATGACTGATCTTAGTGTCAACTTTGTCAAAGAGAGATTGCTGGGGGAAGAGAAGAAAAAAAAGAAAACAAAATCAGAGGAGATAACAGCTGTCCACAATGCTTTCTTGTGCTACAACTGTGGTTTGCCGGGACATAAGAAGTTTCAATGCCGTAATAGAGGGAGAGGACGTTACGAACCAGCCCGAGGAGGTAATGCAGGACGAGGACGTGGACATGGCAGAGGACGAGGACAATATAGGGGACACCACCATGAAAAGAACCATCACACATTCCTGTCAACAGTTGAAGAAGAGGAGGCACCGCTGTGTATTAGTGAGGTATATAAATGAAAGTAACTATACTACATGGTGTGTAGACTCAGGTTGCTCTGATCCCTTAACTAATGATGAAAGTTTCTTTACAAATTACATACAATTTAGTAAACCTAAAATAATTGCAGCAGCTAAAAATGGTATCATGTTACGAGCAGAAGGCATAGGTAATATTAATGTAAAATGTTTTGTTGGTAGAAAAGAGTCTTATTTTACTATTAAAAATGTGTATTATGTCCCTGATTCAAGAAAGAACTTATTGTCAGTATCTAAAATGGAAAACCATGGCTTTAGAGTAGAATTTTACAAAGATAAGGTTAGAGTATACAACTATAATGATCTTTCCATGATAGGAAATCAAGAAGGTTCACTTTACACAGTCAAATTGTTAATAGAGAAACTGGAATGTGACTACACTAATAGTGATGATGTTAACATGTGGCATAGACGCTTTGGACATCTAGGAATTAAAAATTTAAGTTTATTAAAACAAAATAACATGGTAAATGGATTAGAAGACTTAAAAACAAATAATTATGATACATTGTGTGAACAGTGTGTGACAGGTAAAATGACAAGACAACCATTTAATAGAGAGGGTCATAGGGCGTCCAGGCCTTTGGAATTAGTGCATACAGATGTGTGTGGGCCAATTAACCCACCAACAAGAAATGGATATCGCTATTTTATAACCTTTATTGATGATTATACTCATTTTGTAATGATATACCTATTAAATAATAAAAGTGAAGTTTTAGTAAATTCAAACAATATTATTATTATGTTACAAATCATTTTAATAGGAACATCTTAAAAATTAGATCAAATAACGGTAAGGAATATGTAACTAAAGAATTTCAAGATTTTTGTTATTACAAAGGAATTAAATTGGAGTACACGGTCCCATATAATCCAGAAATGAACGGAGTAGCAGAGAGAATGAATAGAACGTTGATGGAAAAGACTAGAACAATTTTATTAGATTCAACATTAGGAAAAGAGTTTTGGGGAGATGCTGTATTGTACTCAGCATATGTTAGTAACCGAAGTCCATCAGCAGGCAGGCAACATACTGCTAGTGAACTCTGGGAAGGAAGAAAACCGAATGTGTCAAACATGAGAGTATTTGGAAGTTTAGCATATAATTATGTACCTAAAGAGTGCAGACAGAAGCTTGATAACACCGGACGTAAGATGATTATGATTGGATATGCTCCAACAGGTTACATACTCTTCGATCCTGAAACACAAAAAGCAGTACATGCAAGAAATGTGATATTCGATGAAAAACCTAAAGAAAAATTTGTACCAAGAATTTACTTACCTTACCAAGATGTAGAAGAAAAAGATGAAGCACCCGAAGAAAAGAAAAAACACCTGAAAAGAAAAAAGGAGAAGGTAAGAGAATAACAGAGAAGAATGCAGAAGATAACACACAAGAGAAACAGAATAAAGAGTTATGCAGAGAAGAAAACACAGAAGTTTATGAAGATGCAGCGGAAGAAATAGAAGACCAACAGGTTGAAAAGGAGCTAGCAAGCAGGGAGAGACCTAAAAGAAATATTAGAAAACCTAAATGGCAATCAGATTACCAGTTAGGTGATGATGAAGATACAGGAGATATATTATATGCTTTACTTACGATTCATTCTGACACACCACAACATTTTGAAGAGATACAGAACAGAGAAGATAAACAGAGATGGGAAAATGCTATATCAGAAGAAATGAAAGTCCTACAAGAGAGTGAAACATGGAAGATAGTACCTAAACCAGAGAATAATAAGTTAATAGATAGCAAGTGGATATTTACTAGAAAAGATATTGGAGGCAAGGAAATATGTAAAGCAAGGTTGGTAGTAAAAGGATTTCAGCAAAAAGAAAATTTAGAAGACATTTACTCACCGGTTTTGTAAATGCAAACATTGAGAGTGTTGTTGTCAGTAGCAGCACACAGAGACTATAATTTTCATCAAATGGACGTCAAAGGAGCTTTTCTTTATGGTAGGATAGATGAAGATGTATACTTAAAGCCCCCTCAGGGATTAAATATACCAGATGGTCATGTATTAAAACTAAATAAGTCACTATCTATTCTCCCAAATATTGGTATGAGAAATTTAACGAAGTTATAACTACTTATGGTTTTGAAAGATCTAACTATGACTATTGTTTATATTATAAGAAAGATATATACTTATTAATATATGTTGATGATTTGTTAATTTTTGGGCCTAACACTAGAGAAATAGAAAAAGTAAAAAGCTATTTGTCAGAAAAATTTAGAATGAAAGACATGGGAATTAATAATTTAACTTATTTGGGAATTTCTATATTAAAACAAAATGGACAGATCTATCTGAATCAAACTAAGTATTTACAAAATGTTTTAAAGAAATATGGTATGCAAGATTGTAAGGGCATGGACACACCTATGGATCCTAATTTACAACTAGAAATAAACACTGATATAGACATAACATTAGAAAACTATTGTAGATCACTCATAGGATCTTTAATGTATTGTATGGTTAGCACTAGACCTGATTTAGCTACAGCTGTTTCATACTTAAGCAGATTTCAAGGAAAACCTAGTGTAAATCTTGTAAAAGCTTTGAAGCGAGTTCTTAGATACATAAAACAAACAGTTAATTATCAGTTAACTTATACCAATTGTAATATTAATAATAATAATACTCTAGTAGGATATGCTGATTCTGATTTTTGCTAGAAGCATGGACAGAAAGTCCACTAGTGGTTATGTTTTTAAACTTTATGGTAATACTATTTCTTGGAAGTCTATAAAACAAAATATTGTGACATTAAGTACTACTGAGGCTGAGTTAGTTGCTTTGTGTGAAAGTTGTGTAGAGTCTAGCTGGTTAATAAAATTGCTTAAATATGTAGATGTTAACTTGAAACATGTAATTATTTTTGAAGATAATCAGAGTACTATAAAGACTATTAATAATCCCGATCAGAAACGTCTCAAACATATTGATATAAAATACAATTTTATTAAGGAAAAGGTAGAACAGGGACTCATTAAGGTAATTTATATTAATACAAATAATCAGTTAGCAGATTTAATGACAAAGCCTCTAACAACTCATCTTTTTAGAAAGTTTGTTACTTTGTTAGGTTTGGAAGATTTTAACATTGAGGGAGAGTGTTGAGGAAAGGACAATGTTCCACTTCCAAATATTTAGTTTATACTCTTTTGAAATTAGAATGTTTTTTTTTTGTCTATGGCAACTTTAAAAATAAAAGGGAACAGAGTTTTTTAAGATTGATGATAAAGGTAATGTAAGGTTAAGAGAAATAAAAGAAAAATGAAGAAATGAAGAGTTTTATTATTCCTCGACACTGCCAAATTAACTAACATTCTCCGAGGCTACGGTGGTCAAACACCGACAACTTCCCAATTCTGGACTGTTACTAGGACTTTCTTAACAGAAAGACTCAATCACTAAACTTAATTCAATCCGGAACTCAAACTCGTCCTGGGTTCGAGTTCCGCATTGGATCTCTGGAAGTGCGGCTGCACATACGCCAGTAGTGGCTAGTATGTAGCCGTACAGTAGCCACTGCAGCATCGGAACAAGATAGATATAATAATTTATTAGTGATTAGATACATAATACAACGGTTTAAACTTAAAAATGGCTAAAAATAAATAGAAATTACTGGAAAAAAAACTGTAAATAGTTAAATACACAAAAAGGTTACACAATCTATTACATCACGTTACAAATAGATATCGCAAAAAATGTATATCTTACTTGACCTATCAGACAGGAGAAATAGGTAGTCTAAAAATAGTTTTTTTTTTATTTTCATTAAATTCCAAACATTCTAATACAATTTTTTTAACCTCAGTCACTTCATAAATACGACCATTAGGTATCACTTGTAATTTCTTACTGGATGATTTCAGTTACGGCACTAAAACTTTCACTCTCATATTATGTAACTAACATTTATATTAATTAAACAATATTACATAAAATTGCTTGACCTAACTGATTCAATATCGCCCAGGCTGGCTTTAATGCCTTGTAATTTTTCATATCGTAATTCTATACTGCCATAGCTAATCGCCAATAAAGAATTGTTCAAATGCTACCTCAAAAAAGAATGAAATATGTCAAACGATGTATAGGAAAGTACATTTTTTAAGGGGCAGCTATGATAGGCTACAATATCGCTACGAATATTAACATTCATAACAAATGATTAACAGACCAGAGTTACCGCTAACAATTCAATGAAGGCACACATGATCGCGGATGTATAATGTAAGTATATCTATTACATATCACTACAAATACTTATCATATTAACTAAATCAACAGATCAGAGTCACCGCTAATCGATTCAATGGAGGCGCACATGATCGCGGACCGGTCGGCGGAGGCGGCGGTGGTGTCCCCGGCGGTGGTGGGCAAGGAGCAACACGCGCGGCGCGAGGTGGGACGCGGTCGCAGTCGCGGGTACGGGCGCCGGGGCCGCTGCTGGTGCCGTGAGAGACGCACGGGCCGGCGGCGATCCTCACTCATGGGTAACATGGTGTGTCTCACCTACGCCACTCTCTTGTTCTCTTTTTATTGTGTGTACTGGTATTTGACTACCTATTCAATAAGAATTAATTAGAAAAGTATATTGAAGACAAATTAATTAAAAGCGAAAAATTATTGTGTGAATTTGCAAATGAAATCGGTAAACAAAGAATTAATATATCCAATAATATTATCGCTGTATAAAAATCCATATTAGTAGACTGTGATAATATTATAAATTAGGTCATCATCATGAAAGGAATTACACTACATAGTTCATTTATCAAAAGTCGTTTTATTATTTTTTTCTTTATGTTTTTGAAGTTTTTCTTTACCGAAATAGAATAAAAAGCTTTCATAAAAAGGGCTTATACCAGTATACACAATATAACAATAGGTATATCAGTAACAAGTTTTTTGAAAACAAAAATCATTTAACGAACAACCCGGAGGCCGGAATATGAAAGTTCCAAAAGGACAAATGTTAAGTACTTAGGCACAAAACTTTAATGCACCTGAGAAGACAGTCGGAAATCAAAGCGTACGATTACGACATACATATAATTAAACAGTACGACTCAAATATGAGTCTACTGATGAAGGAAATATAGAGTGACATAGAACTAAATATGAAGCCAAACAATAATGTTTTTTAATGTAGTATACAAACGATGTACATATATCGAATACGGTGTGAGTGATAAGTAAATAAAAATAGCTAACGGACTTTATTATAAGTATCTGGACGACCGAGCTTCGCTCGGAGTTTTTGGCCAGAAGTACAATTTTCTTTTTAATTTGGCTTAAAAACAAAAAAAACAAAAAGGCTTGAAGAAATATAAAAAGAAACAAAAGTAAAAACTTTGTACCTGATCGGGATCCGAACCCAGACACCTGTGTTTGTCAATCTTGCGCCTTGGCTTCTTGACCACGGCGTGTTTATGCCCGAGCGTGCGAAATTAACGACTAGGTTTTGCGTGGAATAATGCGAAAAAAAACCGCATGAAAACTTCTCAACGTGATTTTAATAATTATTTAATACTAATATAGTGTATACAAATGCTTATCAATGTAATCGTATTACGATCGTAATATAATTATTATTTATCGATAATAGAACAATACATAATTTATAAAAAATTGATCATAAATACATACCTTAGCAAATAATATTTACTATACTATTTATGAACCTAAAAAACTAGAATTTTGAAAATATAAAGACCTTAAAAAAGAGAACAAGAATGTGGAAACTAACACTCATATTAACGCTTCTTGCATGTGTACTAACTTCTCATGTAACAATTCGTATGGCTTCTCATTCGTGTTTATCGTTGTGAACACCATAAATATTTGTATCAGCTTCCCAAAATTACATATCAAATCTAAAGGAGGAGACCGGATCGGTTTCACTGTAATTGGTATCGTTATATTTTTTAGCAGACATCAAAAAAGAGTTTAGTTCGTCTGTTTTCCTCAAAAGCAGTCGCACATAAGTTTAAAGGAAGTATTCTCATGGTTATAAGTGGAATTATCATATTTAAATTTATGATTTTGAAGACGATTTATCGTTTTGTTAAAGTCATTCCTGTATCAACTAATTAGTAATTTACTAGTTTAAATATTTGACTATCATGAGTAGGTATGTATATATGTGAATTTAATATTTTTGTAGAATATCATGCTGCATCCATTAATTATCATGAGCATGATTCATTGAATTTTAAATTATTGATTTAAATAATTAATAATATATATATATATATATATATATATATATATATATATATATGTATGTATGTATATATATTGTAATTTCTAAACAAAACTATATCTATACATATACCTAATAAAATTCTGAGTCCAATCTGTAGGTAAATTAAATATTTTTTGGAAAATCTTATTGAAATAGTCATTATTATCGATACAGAGGCCGATTCTATAGTTTTTTTTTTAGTTTTTGTCTGTCTGTTTGTATGTGACCGCATCAGGAGAAAACCACTGGACAGATTTTGATGAAATTTGGTATGATGATAGCTGGTCATCCGGGTCGACATATCTCACACTCTCTAGTCGCTAGAGTCGCTAGTCTTATAAATAATAATATACTTTGTAAATCATATATAACAAGCTTCCATACATTTTTTGACAATTAAAATAGCTGTCCCTTGCTCTACCTATCTACTTGCTCGCTTTATACATGTTACATTTAAAAATGTATTAAAATATTTTAGGAGCTCATAAGAAATGCCGCGCGCGCTGCGCCCGTGCTGGGCACCGTGTCACCACTTCTAACTTGGGGCAGAACACTCAACACTGATCTACCGTCTATTGAACGAGATCGATATGCATACGTTGCAGTATATACGTAACTTTATCGACACCGCAGATAGAGAAATTGATAATTTACATAACGAAATGACTCACTTTGGTGCAGCGACCCTTGTATTCACGGGTTTCGATTGAAATCTATGAGTGTAAATTTAAAATAGATATTAAATTTAAAAATAACATTATAAAGAAAATTGAAATTCATATAGCCATAACTACATTAACATGAGTTTAAATGAAACAAGTACCTTCCTAGCAATGTGTTCAAATACCTAGTGTTAACAATATTTTATATCATAGAAGGACTTTATAAAACACATATAATTTTATATTTTTTATCTTTAATTACACGTGTTACAACGTATACGATCATCTAAACAATATAGTTTACTCCTTCTTTACACTTAAAATATTTTGCTAAAAAAGACCAGTGCAATAGATACCTCATATTAATATATATACTATATATGCATATAATTATTTTACGTCTATTGTATACCTACATGTTACTTAACTTATACTCTTTGTTAAGCTTGTAATCTTTTTTTACGTTTGTATTCAATGTACGCTATGACTACGCCATAAATTACAACCCTCCTTCTTTAGCGAGGACGGGTCTGAGATGTTCCGACGTTAGAACTTCTCAGGTAAAAATATGAAAAAAATGGGCACACTGTTTGTTAATTTTTTTACTTTTTTATTTGTTCAATTATTATTGAACAGATTTGCCTAGGATCGTTGGTTTTCTCCATAACGCCGTCCGGGCATCGCCTGGTTACACGGACAGTTGTAACTGTGTTGTATCAATACCCATAATAAATCGCAGCACCATAATAGATATGTTATAAAACTATGAATATTTTATTTTCTAAGCTTTATAAAACTCACCTACTATATAAGATATAAAGATCTCTAAAGCATCTGTGATAATTCCAATTGATAAAAATAATTCATTAACTTATAAACTTTAGTTAAACACTTAGTTTAAAGTATTTCTTTGTCGTGTTTGTAATGAATGTGTTTTTATGTTTTAAATGTATTTGATGTTAAAATAAGAGCAAGTGACTGATTAAATGGATGCTGTAAGTCTATGTGTAATTTTTGTTTCAAAATTATTCCGTGGACATTAATGATCTATATAATGAAGTAGGTAATAAATACCTGATTATATCCCCATAACCTTTCCTTCAAACCATAAAATGTACCATAATATCTAACCTCATAATGGTTCAGTTTTTTTTAAAGTACATAGAAAATTTTTTAAATAAGTAGGTGGCTGCTGGGGTAGCCCGAGACACTTAATGAATTACAAAGAAAAATACCAATAAACAAAATCTGTACTCTTTATTTTAAGAAATAAGTATATTAAAAATACTTTGGTATTAATTACATTTTTGACGACACAAAAGACGGCAGGTAACCCTGGAGTCTGGACATAGTAATCAATTATAATTTGTGGTCCAATCGTTTTTTAGCTTACCTACATCTAATAAAATTCTGAGTTGAATCTGCACATTAAATATTTTTTGGAAAATCTTATTGAAATAGTCATTATTATCGATACAGAGCCCGAATCTAATTTTTTTAGAATTTTTGACTGTCTGTCTGTCTGTCATCACGAAAAAACCACTAGAGAGATTTTGATAAAAGGTATGACGATAGCTGATTATCCCTGTCAACCACAGAAATCTTAATAATAAGCTAACATTACCTTAACCTTATTATTAAGATTTCTGTGCTGTCAACATATGAGGTACATACTTAATGTAAATATCTCATCTCTGAGAAATCTATACTAAACGTTATAACGTAAGTAGAGACGAACCCGAATGGAACGAGGATGAGTCGCTAGTATCACAATAAGAATAAACATCTGAAGAATCTATATAAACACAATCTTCATGGGCTCGGTCTTTGCATTCATAAAAAAATCAATGTGAGAAAATCTTTAAGGTTTGAAAGGATAAATTCCTAAGGGCTTCGTCCGAAAACAATGTCCGGAGGTACCCGATCACTATCATGCATCATTTTAGATACAGCTTTTAAATTATACAAGAATTGTTACAAATACTAATGCAAATTTTAAATATATAAAACTCCCTACAACATTAAACAATAGACGAGTACGCACACTAACTTCTTGTATTGTACCTGAATGAATTTAAAATAAATAAGGTAAAAATCTTCAATGAAGTTTGACGGGAACGACGAAATTTTTTTAGCGTGACAAAATACACTCACGTGTACCTAACTCATTCTCCGACTGCGTTTTTACTCCAGAGGGTACATACACATCCTTTCTATTATAAATGCGAAAGTAACTCTGTCTGTCTGTTATGTTTTCGCTCCTAAACCGCTGAACCAATTTTGATAAAGTTTGGTGTGGAGAGGGATGGCTGAAGAAGGATTTTTGTCGCAAAAATGATACTTGAAATGGGTGAAAAATCTCGAGTTAAGGACAAAAATTCATTATATCCTATAAGTTTGGCAAGAAATAAAGGATATATCGGCGTTTATTACCAATCAAGTTAAATAGGGGATGATTTCAAGTTCTTTTAAAAGTACTTACCTGTTTTTCTATAGAAATATAGGTAGGTGGTATAAGTCCATAGTTATTTCATACTAACCGTTAAAACGTATCCACCAAAGGAAGAACCCGAGCGAAGCGAGGGCGAGTCGTTAGTTTAAAATAAAGGTTTCTCTATGCACCAAAATTTAAATACCCGCAGTTACCCGCGTCCGAGGCTACCCGACCTTCCCCTACGATTAAATAACAGGGTCTTAAAATTTTGTTTACCTTCATTTGAAATGTTTCCTAAATACTCGATCTACTTATTTGAACGCATATTATAAGTATATATAAAAAGTTATAAAATATTCGTTCTAGAATGCGCTTCGTATAAACACGTAGGTACTTTCATTTCGTAATTATTTTTATAGTAACCTACTAGCTTACCCTAGCTTCGTTCGGGTACGTCTCTCGCCTCTCGGAATGAATGGTTCAGGAACGCATGGAGGACAAAAACTTAAAACATACACTAGTACCTGACGCAAATACTAGCTAGCTCTCTCGCACATGCTCACATCGCTCATTGCGATGAAGGCAGGTCTGGAAAAAAGCTTTCAGCACTGTCATCAGGCTCGAGATACTCTGCTACGACGTCATGGTTGTCGATAACCATATTATTCCATACTTCTGCGAGAACTTCTCCGGCCTTCTAAATTCCACGAAAAAACGACGAACGACGAACTTCAACGAAAAAATTAATACGTGATATCTCCCTACACCCTCCCTCCCTCCTCCTCTTCCTCCCTCCCTTGTGATGTTTAGTGATTTTTCCGACATGTGTTTTATCATTTCGCCATGCGGTGGGCGGTGGCGTTACTAAAGCGATATAATGACATCACTGGCGTTTAAATTTACCTTTTAAGAAACCACTTTTAATTATAAAATTACATGAAAAATCAATTGTTAAACAAAATGTTCCTTAACAATTTTCAGTAAGCTTTACAAAAATATATTAAAAACATGCAACTTCTCTTTTGTAGCTTTTTAAATATTAAATTTTAATAGTAAATGCAATACATTTATTTAAATACTAAACTTATTTTTACTTTAATAAAAATAAATAACTGTTTAGGAGAAACATGTGTATACTGTAGCGCCCCCTGGCAGTCTGTAACATTATAAAACTTAGCTAAGGATATGCTGAGGAATGAGTCTTATACAAAGCAAAAACTGTTTCAAAGTCGGCCTGGCTGTTTCTGAGAAAAATAGTAACAGACACACACACAAACACCTCTTACCCTAAACGCATGTACCGTCTCCGTTGCCGTCGCGGCGAAAAATACTAAGAAACATTATTTTTTGGATTAAATAAAACGACTTCAAAGTTTCATTACAATTGGATGTAAAGAGTACATACATGTAAAGAAATGATCATTTTTATTTAAATATAGATAAAAAAATAAAAAATATAACATAAAAAGCATTTATTTAACAACTGTAGGTAATAGGTATATACATGTACCTACATTAAACTATATATAAATGGGCAGACATTGCAGTACCAGCAAAAAGTGCAAATTATAATTAATTACCACGAACACAGTCTGGACTTTTTAAATTAAAACAGATTATATCTAAAATAGCAATGCAGACTGATTTTGATTGAGTAATTGGTTCTCCTTGGTAATGAGAACTAGAATAAGGACTTAGTATTCATAGGATGCTTTTTATTTGAATATATGCAATTTACATTTTTTTTAATTAAATTCATATTATGGTCCTATGGCCTTTTATCATGCTCCAGACCAAAATGTTATAGGGCTAAATTTCACAACATATTTCTATAATGACATAAATAACTGCTACAAAAGATTTTTTTAAATTGTTTGTAAAGGGATGAAATTTTCAAGGCTAGTGCAAGCTGCTTGTAGTTTTTATAATAAAGATATATAAGTCAGAGTTTATACTTTATGAGCTAATTATAAGTTAAAATACAAACCATGATGAATTAATGTTAAATAATAATAATAATTAATATAACACTGGCAATTAGAGATCACTTAGATCTTTTTCTAATTCTTCAATATTCTTAATATTATTATCAGTTCTTTCTCTTCTACTGTTTTTCTTAAAATTAAAATACTTATTCCAAATTATGTACTTTGTTACAATTAATACAGCAAAAATTGCAATTAGTCATAGTGGCCTTTTGTCATCATTATTATCTTGTGTACAATCTGATCCTTTTTTTGCTTCATTGCTGTTGTTATTCCTAACTGGAACTAAGTTGAAATGTAAATTACTGCCTTTGTTTCTAATTTGTACTATTTTACCAATAGACTTTAAATTTCTTTCTATTATTGTTGTTATCTTTTCCTGTAACAAACCACAAACAAACAGATATAAGGATTAAGTTTAATACTTGCAGTTTAATTTAATTATAGGTTGAAATTGATATATTGAACAAAATTGTTTTATATAATTGTACTTGTTTAAGTGACCATACCAATTTTATTTGTTCATTCGCTTCCCCTGATACTATGATCCTTAATTCATAGCTTTTTTCAAGCAATTTTCCCATCTTCTTAACACTTGTAAGTAAATCATGTTCGGCTATTCTTGCTGACAAGGTTATAAGTTTTGGTCCTTTCAGGGATTTATTTTCTGATGCTGACTGTTTTTCAATTCTTCTAGATAGCTCCTCTTCATGATACTGGGCATTGGTCATCATTCTAAAATAAGATTTTATTTTTAATGTATTATATTTCAATATTAAGATATTGATAATTACTTACAAATTTTACATTTGCAATCATTACATAACAAAAAGAAAAATGTTTACTGTAAAATGAACGAGTATCATGTTATTCGTTACTTTAATGTCATCTTAAAAATATTATAATTGTAGTCTTACTTATAAACTGGACGTCTTGTTTTCGAATCGACATCTTGGATTTTAACCAATTTTAACTCACGCTTGGATGATAAATTTTGAGCATTCTTAAGATCTGTTATGCTCACTGAATTATCAATACCAATCAAGGTGATTCGATTTTCAATATTTGGCTTTTTGGGAACATCTTTTCCATTTGCAGATATCCTGGTAGCAATAGACCGACAATCAAATAGTCTCCTTGTATTAAGTAGAGTAAGTAATTTGTTCATTTTGATTTTGCCACAGTATTTGAACTATACGCAAATGTTTTTATGATTATCAAGATTTGTCCACTTTGACTATAAGTTCAATATAATATAAATCATATCAAGAAGGCCATGAATTTTAGCCAAAATTACTTTATTTATTTAATAATTATACGTCAAATTAACATATAGGCAAAACATTGACAAATACAATGTTCGTTCAGTAATCAGTTCGTGGATGAAGACGTCAATTGTCAGTCAGCTCAAAGAGTCAAGGTATATATCTATACTCTTTAGAGTCAAGAGTCAAGTTGTCTTTGACTTTTTATTTTCATCCATGATTTAACTGTTGACTTGTGGCCTAGAGATAAGTAAATTAAGCTCTAAGCCATAAAGAAAAAACTAGTTTAACCATAGACATAGAGGTGAACTGAGTGTTTCTTTGCCAGCCGTCAACTAAATCCCATCAAAAACATTCTGTAAAAATATTGCAAGTCTCGCAACGCATTTCTTCTACCTCAAAAAGCTATGAGATGTAATGTAAAACCAAGTCGGTTAATTTATTCATTACCTATCTATGAAAGCATCTATCCGACAACTCTGTCATAAATCGTTACCGAATTAGTTAAGTTACAACATTTTATAGTGACCGTATTAATATTAGATATATTTATTTCTTTAATTAATAGAATGACTTGGCCATCGCACGGAAACATTATCACATAAGAGTCTACAACTTTAAATAGCCCTAATTAAACATATCATGACCAAGGTGGACGGACTACTTGGTCAAAGTCACTGGAGCCCACTAGATGCAGATGGCACAAGACTGGTTGTCGTGGAACTTTTTGGGAGAGGCCTATGTCCAGCTGTGTGTGTGTTTGGGCTGAGATGAACTGAACATAGCACTAGCGGGTCAAATTTATGCATCTATACATTAATAATGCACTCAGAACGCTAATTTTAGGTAAATTTTGTTATTTGTAGATTCTATTATCATGTGCGATGGCCAAGTCATTCTATTAATTAAAGAAATAAATATATCTAATATTAATACGGTCACTATAAAATGTTGTAACTTAACTAATTCGGTAACGATTTATGACAGAGTTGTCGGATAGATGCTTTCATAGATAGGTAATGAATAAATTAACCGACTTGGTTTTACATTACATCTCATAGCTTTTTGAGGTAGAAGAAATGCGTTGCGAGACTTGCAATATTTTTACAGAATGTTTTTGATGGGATCTCATTTCTTTTTGTAAATATTTCTTCTTTTTCTCTTTTCTTGTACTATTTCTTGTGTGTCAGCTAAGGACTTTTTAAAAGCCCACTCCTTGTCTCTGTGGGCTTTTTTCAGAGGCTTTGATATAGGCAACAAATTTTGACAAGTCTGGATGATAAAAAATCTAAGTCTATTGTATTGGGAAATTACGGACTCCTGGACTTTAATACTACTATCTTATGCATTAAGAATAAATATGTATAGTTAATTTAACGAATATTTTAATTTCATTGTTGACCCTAAATACCTACCCCGATACTGATATTCGACTTACATAAGTTTAATAAGACGTGTAGATTTATGTGTCTATCTGCAGCATCGTAGTTAAATCCCGAAAGTTGTATTCCATTCCATTTTAAAAGTAATTTTCGAAGAGATTGATATTTCATGACCTCTATATTTCATGTTGACAAGGTTTTCTAATTCATATCAACATCATACTTTGTAAAAGAAAATGTACGAGCTTTGTTTCAAAATTAAGTAATCGTCAAGTTGTTTCTTAATTAGGTATATATTTTAATCAATTCATTATAAATAACAGTAATCGAATATTAGTAGGTATAAACTATACACGCTTCACATTACATTTATGTACCCATTTGTATATGCATAAAAATGTATACAGCTACTAAAAAAGCTTAAAATATTATTTTCGCGTTTAAAAATACTTTTCTAATACATATAATTGCAAATATAAACATTAATAAATAGACCAATCGAAATTAGGTTAGTAATTACGAGGGAACATAGGATCGGACGTACAAACATACATACCTACAGGTAAAACACTAACCTAACCCCCTTTTACAGTGCAACAATTGTATAATTAATTTACCATTAATTATAAATTTTATAAGAATAAGTATATGAATGAGGTGAAAAAAATAAAAGTAAGATATCGGGAAATGCAAAAAATAATATTTAATTTAAATAATGTAAGGAAAAAATAGTGTAAATTTAATTAAAATATTTTATGATTTTTAAACGAAATTTATATTTGACATAACGGCACAAATTAAGGCAAGCTATGATGAAGTTTATTTATATCAAAATATTTATATTATGTGCTATTTTATTGTGACCTATTATTTAAAAAAATACCTAAACCTTCTAGCGTTCCTTGACGTCGTTAAAGTGGAGAAATTGACTAACAAATTAAATACTTAGTGATAATAAACGGAACTCTGAGAAAGATATATTTTAAGTTGGATATTTAAGTTAATAAAATAATATATGAGTTATTCCTGTGTTTTTTTAACATGACTAAACTAAATATTGATAAATACATATTGTATGTATTAGTCAAGTAGAAGACAAACTAACGCTCCGAGGGCTCTGTACTTTTTTTTTTATAGTTGGGAAATCCTATTACGGATACCACCCGAATTCCCCCGGGCGACTCTCGCTACGGAACACACGAGTGTTCGATTACTTGTATATTTTTTTTATATTTAAGATCTTTTATACATATATGTTTCAATTTATATATTAAATATATTATTTCTTAAAACTCTTTACAATATTGATAATTACATTTTAGTCATCGCTAACACTTACAGTATATCCACTATTTACCCAGCTATACATTTGGGTAGTTTAAGTGACGAAAAATGATATGTATGAACTGCAAAAATAACTTTGTAAACCCATATATCGCATATCTATTTGTATAGGAATACAAAGTTACTTGTGCAGTTTGTATATCTCGAAAACAGGATTGAAATTGCATGATGTTTGAGTTTTTCCTTCCGTTATAGGCTAAATACTAATTGTGTTCAAAATTTGAAGCTCCTATGTCTGCTAGAAGTACCTTAGAATTTTGATGATCGGTGAGTGAGTGAGTGTGTGAGTGACAATATTAACGAATTTTGATCTGCAACAGTTCTTAAACTACAGGTTCAAATTAAATGTAATTTGGAAATATGCCTAGTTTTATTATGTTCTTTTAGTCACTGAAAATTCAGGCTTCTAGCTTTATCCATAACGAAGTTATGGGGGGGTGGAAAATGCTCTGAATCGCTTCGAGAAAAGGATGGTACTGTCGTGCCCTTTTTTGCTCGACTTGGCGGGGGCACTCCGTGCCCCCCGAAATTGCGAAAAGCGCAACAGAGACAAAATGAACGTGCGATCAGAAGTCTTCTATATAAATTTAAATACGATTAATGAAGATAGATATTTATAACCAGTTTTTTCCATTACACTGTGTTATAATTTTTTTACATTCCATTTACAAATTCAAATTGGAATAAAAGACTGAAAAAGGTACCTATAGCCTAAACGAAGAAAATAACTAAACGGGGTTTTTCATTTAGAATGGTACCTAAGCACATATTTTCGAAGTCAGTGCCAGCCGATGAAAAGCAACTTTAATATATTTCGATACTTAAAATATATATTTACCTATTAAATATTCATATCTTAAAATATTGTCGGCTGGCACCAACTTCGAAAATATGTGAATAGGTATTCATTCTAAATGAAACCCCCGTTTAGTTATTTTTTACATTTTAGTGCATGGAAGTCGGTTTTTATCTTTTTTTTTTTGCTTTTTATTTTTCCATTTTTAGTGTAGACGTATTATGCAGGTAATTTGTAATAAGAAAGTTTTTTAACAACATATTCGATTTAACAATTTATTTAAAAAAATAATTTATTATAGATTTTTTAAAAACCGCTCGACCGATTTCGATAAAATTAATATGGGACCACCCTTTGAAATAAAAAAAAATCCAAATCAGTTCAGGCGTCTTCGAGTAATCGGTGAACATACATAAAATAAAGATTGCGACGAATTAAGAACCTCCTCCTTTTTGGAAGTTAGTTAATAATATTTAATGGTGAATTACAATACGCCATTACAAATTACAATAAGTTTTATACACATTCTTAATGATTATAGGAATTTTTACGTCAGCATTATTGCAATTTTTCTTAGAAAATGAAATAAATATAATTATAATGATTATACTCCTAGTAGCTTTTATTCTATCTGGCTTACAAAGGCCTTTCCTTTCGGAAGACTTAAAGAAACATAGTGACATAATGCACATTTTCATATTTTTGTAATGACTAACTTATTATTTTTGGGTTTTTATTGTTTCGTTTGACTTAATGTCACATTACGACACCACTTTTTGAAGAGATATTTATTAAGAACTGTGAATCTACAGAACCAATGATTTATTGCCATAAAAAGTAAAAAGAATAATAAAGATATACATTACATGTAATATGAGATAGGTGATAAGTATCACAGTTCGCATCATCTCGTTTTGTTTGTCATCCATGGTTCGCATTAGCGATGTTTTATTTTTCGTCCATGGTTCGCATAACCGAGAGACTGAAGCCTGCACATATACCAAATAGGTATATGTGCAGGCTGATATATGATGTGATATCAGTCATGTCCGCCTATATATTAATTACTAGCATTGCCCGCTGCTTCGCCCGCGTTCAGATGACCAAAAACCATATTCTTAGGTTTTACAGATTAGTGTCCTCTTACATTGCAGTTTTTGCATTTTTTCTCAGAAATAAGATATTTCCCCGCAGTAAATAGTATCCTATATGTTGACCCGGATAACCAGCTATCATCATACCAAATTTCATCAAAATCCCTCCAGTGGTTTTTCTGTGATGCGGTAACAGACGAACAGACAAAAATTCTAAAAACTATAGATTCGGCCTCTGTATCAATAATAATGTTTATTTCAATAAGATTTTTCCAAAAAATATTTAA